CGGTTAAAAATGTAATAATAAAATATTTATACAGTTTCAAATGGTAATGGTCAACATTGAACAAAAGTAGAAAAAATGATGTTCGATTTGAAGCAAAAAATAGAGTGTCAAAATTGAAAAAAATAATTAAAGTTTAGTCTCAAAATTGAAAAAAAAAATAAAATTTTAGTATCTTTTATAGAAAAAAAATCTGTTTTGACATGTCAGCATGCCACATCTTCAAACTAACACGTCATCATACAACCGGGTTGACCGGTCAAGTAGTTAGAATTGTAACAAATTTGAAAACACTATGTCAAATTTGATAAAAAAAAAAAAAAAAAAGAAACACACAATGTCAAATTAGAATTTTGGTGTAAACTTAATGATTTTTGTGCTATTTTCCGCATATTAGTTGACACCCAAAATGTCATAAAGTCATTATTTAATTGGTTAATTTTAATGCGGTTATTCGGGTATTTAACCCGAAAAAATCATTTAAAGCAACTTCAAATCCAATCCTAAATATATTTCATATCCTATTAAACCTAATCCTATTTATCTTATTCGAGTTCGGGTTAATTGGGTCGGACATTTTTTACCCCCTACATATAAACCTACTATAAGTGTTCACCATGACCTATTTGGAACAACTTTTATAATTAGTCACCTCTGCAAATATCTGCAAATATGTAAATACAATCATATTGTTTTTTTTTTTTTGTGTAAATACAAAATAGTTTTATTTATAAACAATATATGGTGAAAGTTAAAATTGTTTATCCAAATCTTGTCAATGTACTAATTTAATCGTTTAACCTTTTTCCAGGACGTGCAAGATCATTTAACTTTCTAAATATATCAGATCTTATGCTAGGTTCACGGGTCATTTTTAGAGAGAGAAGTGAAAAAATAAAAACAAATATTCATGTTTAATATATATTTTTTGAAAAAATTAGAACACACGAAAATAAGAACTTTTTTATATTCATCTCTTAAATGTTATTTCTAAAATGAAGAATTTAAAGATCATGTACAATCAATATCCTCTCTATAAATCTCTAAGAACAACCAAATTTTGTTTAATTCTTTCACTAAAACACGGAAATAGAATAATATGTATTTTCATTTGCATCCTATTATGTATTTTCATCCTTTTGGCTAGTTAGAATCACCCAATAAAGGCACGACACCGTATTGTGCGAATGTGATTCCGATGATGGAATTTGGAAATTCTTGTGAACCGTTTCCAAGACTTTTTCTATGGCCTGAACCCGTATTTTTTATATTTGTTATGCCTAGAAATCATTTTGAGTGAAAAAAACTATTCAAACCGTCTTAAAGCTGAAAACAAACCTAATTTATTATGAAAAAATTTATTGAACTTAGTGGTTATGTCTTTTGACCTTTGTCATGTCATTTATATATTTACACTTTTGCCTAAGTTTTGAACTTTTTTACAAATTTGGTTTGAATGGTTTTTTTGTAAAATTGTTCAAAAAACATTTTGTTTTTATAATGTTCCAAATTTCAAACAAAATTTTCATTTTTAAAGCCCAAGAAAACATACTAATTTCATTCTCAAAAGTAAACATCTAATTGTTTTATCTGCATAAAATCAGAGTTATAGAAATAAAGTCAAAAGGGTGTGGAAAATCTCTAAATCATAACAGCAGATGCAATGCAATCACGTCGCACCATTCTCTTTGCTACAAAAGTACCTGAAACATTTAAACTTAAAACCGTAAACAAAAAACTTAGTGAGTTCCCCAAAACATAATATACAACACAAATAGCGGGCCTAGCCCAACAATTATGTTTTAATCATGCGGGCCCAACCCAACAAGCATTTAAGCATACAACAACTAGCTACACATTCATCAAGCATATATTAACACCCAGTGTCCTACATAATAAAGTGAGAAACACCTAAACTAATTAAAGCTCACACCTCAGCCTAAAGCTCAAAACCTCCAAGTTTGACTAAAAGTCAAAGTCAAAAGTCAACGGTTAATCACCATTGACCACTGTGCCGCAACTAGCTCCTTGGTCGCGTCTTGGTCGCTAAAAGACAAAACAGTCACAGCTGGATCTCGTGACCCGTGTCGTGACCTACAACCCACTGCGTCGCGGTTTACGTGACAGGCAACTAAATCAAATAAGCTATTAATCCTTAATTCCAAAGCCTTAAACTTTCGAATAGAATTAAAACACCGCTTTAATGAATAAAGTTTGCAACTTTATTTATTTACATGGCTTTACTCATGGAATCTCATATCTAGGTCAAAATGGTAAAAAATATATATAACCAAAACCATGCATGACTCTCATTGGAAGATGAAGTTTAGTTCTTTGCACCATAATAAGTCCAAAAGACCCAAAGATCAAACCTTTACTCCTGGAGTTACCCAAACTCCAACTCAAATCCATAAAAGGGACCTAAACATGCATAAATTCCAAGATCTATAAAGCTACAAGCATAAAGGTACGAACTTTATACATTTAGAAGATCCAAGAGAAGACTGAAAGCATAAATCTAGCTAAAGAAATCTCTACAAGGCTTGTAAGAACTTGAAATTTAGAGAAACTTGACTTTTAGTTAAATATTGACTAAAAGGGTAAAATGGTCAATTATGAGTAAAATATGAGATTATTAAGTTGACTTCATGAAAATGGTCAAGAAGAGTTTAAGTCACTAAAATGAGATTATATGAGTAAGTTCAAGATAAAGAATGCATGAGAAGATGCATTTTTGGTCAAAAGGGTAAAATGTGAATTTTATGCTTTTTGGGCCAACTTTGTGACTTAACAGATTAAGACCTGTATTAAGTCGACAATATATGACTTAAAAAAAGTGTAGAGTATTTCCCAGCTTTGCGTGGATATAAAGTTCATAGAAAACGGGTAAGAAATGAAGAAGTTATGCACGTTAGAATTTGAGATAAAATTGTCCCAAAGCTGGAATGGAATCGGCCAAAGGGGGTTGGGGAGGAAGAGTAAAGAGAGAGAAAAAAAAAAGGAAAATAAAAGAAAATTGTATTTGTGTTCCCGAGTTGGATAGAAATGAAAGAAAATTTAACATTTTGTTCATTTCTCTCCAAATCCTTCCAAATTAGAAGAAAAGTTAAAGAGGAAAAGTTATCCATAAACACAATTTTTCTTACTTTCTTCTTACTTCCATCAATTTTCTTCTTTTATCTTTGAACATGGGAACAAGGTGTTAAGCTTAAGAATTTGGTGGTGGAAAAGTTGTGTTTTGCAGTATGAAATTTGGTTGATTCTTATGATACGACAACAATGGAGGAACAATCATAGAACCAGAAGCTACCTAAGACGACTAATAAGAAGGACAAAATTTGACGTCTTCGAAGCTTGATAGCTCAAGCACGAGTAAGGTAATCCACCATACCCACATTAATCTCCCCCATCTTTTCTATTTCGATTCCGGTTGCGTTGTTTTTTATTCCAATGTTTAGAGAGTGTTTGACCTTTCATTTAAAAACAGCTTATTGACTTATTGACTTTTTTAAAAATCAATAAATAAAAAAATTGTTTGGCAATATGAAAAAAAACTTTTAAAATAGTTTCTCATTAACCCTTCAAAAAAGGATTTCAATTAGTTAGAATTTCTAAGTTTTCAAAACTCCTTGTAACTTTTGGGTTGTAAAAGACAAATATCCCTTAAAACATGTATAAGTTAAACTAAACATTTAAAAAAAAAACAACTTATTGATTTTTTCCACCACAGAAGTTAATCCAAACACTTTTTAACAAACTTTTTTAATCACCGCCATAAGTGAATATAAGGTGATGTTTGTTTTTTTAAGCAAAAATTCATGAAGTTTGCGAACCACCTCTGCAACCCTATGCAGTAGAAGAGGTGGACCAAACAGCTGCAGACTGTAATAAGAAGCGTTTTTGTTTTTTTAACATCTGCATGTTGCTGCAGATATTAAAAAATTAAAATAAACTGATTTTATAAACCAAAAATAGTTTTTTAATACTCAAAATTTAATAATGTATGACATTTTAGTAATTCTTTATAATATTTCAGCAAAAAATAATGATATTTCAACAAAAAATAAAGATATTTTAGCAAAAAAAATAATGATATTTCATCAAGAATTTATCATTATTCAATATAAAAAACAAAAAAAAATATCAAAAATGTAAAATAAGATTTCAACAACATATAATCAAGATTTCAGCAAGAAAAAAGAAGAAGATGTTGGAAGAGGCAATACAAGTGTTATGTCAAACAAAACACGCATAGATGTTTTTAACTCTGAAGACTTCTAAAAAACAAACAACTGCGAGATTAAAAGTGTTGCGTGTGTGCTGCGCCGCGCAGCAATAAAAGATCTGAAGAGGTTTTTTACAAAAAAACAAACAGCACCTAAGTCAATAAGTCTTTTTGATGTTCATAATGAAATCCCAAACACACTCTAAGTAGCTAGCTAAGTTGGGTAGTTCTTTCTTTTGAAGCTTTAAGTTAGATGCATGATCATCTTACCTAATCTTTTCTTAATTATCATTACTTTAGGAAAAAAATAAACTTAAATAGTAGAAGTTGATCTACTCCTAGATTTTTTAGGCTCATAACGTTAAGAACCAATCATTATCCAATTTAGGAATTAGAGTTTGAACATATGCATAGACAAGAGAAGTGTCTTTCATTGAAATTAAACCTAAATAGCCATTACTATTGGTATCGTATCAATGCTTAAAAGCTAAAACAAGTGTTTTCATAATCTAACAGTGAATTAGTGACTTGAAAAAACGTAGCATTGTATTGTATGATTGAAATTCGAAA